GGCAATGACATGCTACGTGGCAATGCACACTTGTTTTTACATCGTAAAAACCCATGTCTAGTGATGTGATTGTGATGCTGTAATTCTGAGTGTTTTATGTGCTGCAGAACAGGAACCTGCTGTAAAACAGCAATTATGCTGAGTCAGGCTTGATTTTTAATAATCTTTTCCTGTTAAATAAATAAATCAAATCAAAGATCAGGCAGTAATCCCAGATTTAGTGCTTACCTGACACAACACAGGTAGATTGAGTAAAGAATGACCGCTGTTGCACAAAAATAGTCCATTTTCTAAAAGAAGAGGGGGAAAAAACATTTTTATTGCCGACACAAATTAAAAAGAGCAGAGAGATTCTTGTAAACAAAAAACAAAAAAAGAGCTCAACGGTTTGTCACTAATGGTATTAAGATGTTACTGATTTGCTAAATTCATTAGCAAACAAAAGAACAACAGAGTTGATCTCAGACAGGTCAAGCTGTCTATTTTAGCAGTTTTCTACTCACCACAAAAGAACACAGTGCAGTGATTGTCGATTCTTGTTTTATATTTAACAGTAAATAAAGTGAAAAGCCATAAAAAGTAGCTTAAGCTGCATTCAGTTCATTGATTTGGATTTTTGTATAAGCAGTAATCAGCTATGGTAAGAACATATTTGTATCTAGATCAGGGGGATCCAATCCTTGTCCTCGAGGGCTGCTATCCTGCATGGTTTACTTGTTTCTCTGTTCCAACACCTAATTCAGTGATTAAACTACCTCTTCAAGTTCTACGGAGCCCTGTTAATTCCCATTCAATCAAATCAGGTGTGTTGGAGCAGAGAAACCTCTCAAACATGCAGGATAGTGACCCCTCGAGGACCATAAATGGACACCTCTTTCATCAGCATTACCTCAGTGAGATAAGTGTCCCGGGTGTGAAACACTGTGGACCAGAACCACGCATTCAGAGATACCTAAACAAAAACACACGCTGAGGTTAGAAATAGCAGAACAAATGTGTTCTCCTTTATTTATTCCTAATAACTGACCAGGGAGAAGGCGTTGGTGGTGTGGTACATGGGGCTCTGGCGTGGCACCGTGCTCCGATAGCGCAGCAGCATGAGAAGGCAGGCCAAGCCGTTGAGCAGAGACGCCAGCGCCGATGCCGGCTCCTCGAAGCACAGGAAACGAACAAACGGCCACTGGGAGAAAACCAAACACAGCCTTTATTTCACATTACACGCTTATGGAGGAGTCCTTTTGACTTGTATGTTGTTGAAGACATTTATTGGGGTTGTTTACTACTGACTTTTAAAGGGATCCCTGATTAGTTGTAACATTAAACTTTATTTGATAAACATATATTT